ACACACACGCACACACGCACATACACACACGCACACACACACACACGCACACACACACACACACACACACACACACACACATCGCGTCTTTACATACGATCTTAGAGCAGTATGCATGATACAGTTTTGATTGGGCGGTAGTAGACATAGAGGGAGTAGATTGCTCAAGTAGTACTTCCCTCCCTTCTGGTCGTGTTGTCCTTATATACATATATGTGAATGTCGGTAAATGTAAATAAACCAATTAGCGTAAATGGAGGGTGAGGAGCGGATTTGTGGGTGTTTGTGTGTGTGTGTGTGTGTGTGTGTGTGTGTGTGTGTGTGTGTGTGTGTGTGTGTGTGTGTGTGTGTGTGTGTGTGTGTGTGTTAGTACACCAGTTAGAATTTGCAGTTACACACCATCGAGCATCATTCTCTTAAAAATCTGGGTGTACAACCATGTTTGGTTCACTGTAAACTTACTCTGTGAACAAAATCACAACGAAAAAAATATAGAGCTCAAAAATACAAAAGCAAGAAATTTTGAAAATCTTTGAGCATGATTTTACGGAGAAGTGTAGTTACCTGAAAAACAATTTATTTTGTTTCTTACTGTCAATGGTCTTCCTCTTATAGCCCCCCCCCCCCCCCCCACCCCCTTTCCTGGCGGTAGTCCTTCTGAAAACTTGGCATCAACGAACCACATTACAAACAGCTCGTTTCAGGTGTACAGTGTCTGGGTTTCCTTTCAGCATGCCCATTTGTTGCTAAATTATATCTTGCAAATCCCAGAAGGTACCGTATAGGGGTGGAGTACGGTGGTTGGCGGCTGCTCTAGTGTGGTTTGCTCAATTATTCTTATCAAATATCTATCGTCCTGATTGCTCCTCCCTTTTTTAAAAATTTGTTACTCTCTTGTAACATCTCAAATCTTTGGAACTTATATTATCTTTTTTGTGTTTCACACCAGTGCCGTAAAACTCTTACTAAAACTAAAATGAGACTGAGCTGGTACATCCTACTGTGCCAACAACACATGCCGGAATTCGCTGAAGCTGGAAGTGGATCACCATCTGTGAAAAATATTCTCATCTCACCATTCCACTGGGCGTATGCTGTGATCACACCATTTCCACAGAGTCCTGCTCTAACAGTTACTTCCTCCCAGCCTGCTGTGTGATCGAAGCTGAAAGTTGGTGTGTGCCTACTGGAAACGTACTGGACCACACTGCAAGTGTTGACTTCGCCATTTACTGCCAACCAAGCCTCATCTCCAATGAAATTGTTGCTCAGAAAACTGGGATCCCTGACACACCTTCCCAACATCAACTCACAGAATGGTTTTCATATTGCATGATCAGCAGGTAGAAGCTCATGTCAAATGTGTATGTGATAGGGGTGAAGGCCAATCTCCAAACTCGTTATCCGATTGAAGGAAGCTGAGCACAACCTAACACCATTTCTCCTAGTACACGGGGAAGTGTGTCCCGCGGATGGTCCACCAGTCTTTCTCGGCATTGATGTTCTCTGCCAATATAGCCATCCTCGACCTTCCAAAGTGTCCTCTGTTTCGATTGAGACTCGTTCCATGCCTTCGATATATTTTTTGTTCAGTTTTTGCTTTTGTTTTTGTTTGTACATTTGCCCAAATTGTCTTTTTATATCGATTCTCGCTCGTGCGATTTGAAAGGGGGGGGGTTGGCAAGTGCTCTGGTGTGGTTTGCTCCTTCTCTCCTATCAAATACCTATCGTCCTTATCTCTCTGTCTTTTTTTAGGTTGTTACTCTCTTGTAATACCCCTAATCTTTATAAGGGACAATTGCGCTGCAAGTGTAGTAAAACTTAAAGCTTACAAAAACTAAAAAGGTTCTCCTTCATGAAATGTTTCTCAAAAATCATCTTGTACTGCTTGCAATATTTTTTTCCGTCATACTTTCTAACAACAAAGACTCATTGGTCAGCTGTCAGTTGGACAGTTGTGAGGGTCAATACAGAACGTTACAATGCAAACTGATGAGGGTAGCGATTGAAAATTCAAACCTTTTGACTGTAATAACTTAAATCTCATATAGGTCTAATGTTTTTCTATGCGCTTGACAATCTACTATATTGTCACCCCAGCAGACCTGATAGCATTCTGACCCAATCTCAACGGTCTTGGAATCATACAGTACAAACTGCAATTTAAAGGTGCTAAAATATTAACATGCTGACAAGATATGTCGCTGTCTATGTTCGGGTTCCAGTTCCCACTTTGGTGAAGCGGGAAAAATTCGTGTAAAGTGCCGTTCTCAGGGACACAACGTCGGGCCTGAGGCTCGAACCCCCATACCAGCAACCTCACGATTGCGAGTCCGGTATCTTAACCACTGAACTATTGACGCCAGTGAAACCTTTATTTGTAATCTTCACCACTTAAAGAAGTTCAACGGGAAGAAAGAGAGCACAGCACAGTGCAACAGCCCAATTATATTATGGCGGTACGCGAAAATGTATACATCTGAATTGATGATATAGGGTAAGTATCATTCTAATATCAAAAATATTGTTTTGATTATATAATGAACTTCTTTTTTACTGAAAGTCTAACCGTATGAGGACATCAGCAATTTGAAGCTGGGTTACCTTTTTTCTGAGACACCGTGTATATTAGACCTATCACACACGTATATTATATTAGGTACTATATGTATAGGCCTATTATATAAAACATAAGCATGGTTCTACAATCATTTACGTCAAACTCACCTGTCAGAAAGAAGACAACAGCGAGAGATGACCACGCTCTGATCGCATCCATGTTGAAGTCAAGGCGAGCACAGACCGACTGACACAGACGCTAGGAACCTGTCACAGCTGCTCACAGCTTTTGTCTGTGGAGGGGTGAGGGGTGGTGGGGGGAGGGCCACGAGCATCGCCGCTCACCATCAGAATGTCTATATTATCTGCCCACACACGCGCGCATTTGAACGCGGATGTAAATCTTGAGCAACGGTTGTCGGTTTGAAGGCCAGTTGTTTTTTTTAATTTAAGGGGGGCAGCAACAACAACAACGATGGGTGTGTTCAGCTCACGTCCGTTGCCGCAGCATTCAACACTTTAGTTCAAGAATCACTTATTACACATTTTGTTTTAAAAAGTACAATATAAATAAATACTATACATTTTATTATACCAACCAGGGAGTTTTCCTTAAGTCACCTTGTCTTTTCATTTCATCTTTTGTTTTTGTTTTTATTGATATTTTGAAAAAAAAATTTTTGGGGGGTGGTTGTTGTTTGTTTACAATCAGAATGCCAATGACAGATAGTAACTAATCTCAATATGTTTGCAAGTACCTTCCTTTCGTTGAAAGGACTAGATCACGCCGTTTACTAGATCACATTCTGTGTTTCCGTTGTTCCGAAATACGCATGATTTTGTGGCCTGCGAGGTTCTTACACTGGACAGCCTGAACAATGTATAATGTAAGTAGGATAAGTGTTTCCCGACCCATCCCTTTCCATGCTCCCATCAACTCAAGAGGATTTCATGTCATGTGCTGAAAAGATCCGCTACGTCCATTGTATAAAATAAGTTTGCAATTTTTCTGAAAGGAGTTAGTCTAGCCATAGACTTTAGAAAGGCAGATCTAGACGACGATGAAGAACAAGTGGCCTACTATTCCAGAAGAAGAAGAAGAAGAAGAAGAAGAAGAAGAAGAAGAAGAAGAAGAAGAAG